GAGTGAGCAGGGTAATATTTTGTGAAGGGATTCAGGCAAACAGGTTAGCAAGACTCGAGTCCTGGAGGTTGAAAGTACAATGTCTGTACTTTTTTAAAAGGAGAAGTTTGGGATATTGGAGGATTGGAGTGACATCTAAACTGTCATATCAAGGTGACTGCCAAGATATATTTCCCTCTTTGCCTCCATGAATAACGGTTTTTGTCTCATCAGATGCCTCAACGCACCACTCATCATCTTTCCTTCTTCAATTCTATGGTTATCATCACCCTTCATAAACCCAGTCACTGACAAGTCAACTCTCACTTCTCCCTCCAATGCGATATTCAATTTTTCTTTATTTAAATCGTTTGATACCCTCACCACCTTACTCTCATCGATGTTCACTTTCAACTTTCTACCTCTACACACCCTCCCAAACTTGTCCACTAACCTTTGCAACATTTCTTTAGACTCCCCCAAAAGAACAGCATCAGCAAAAAATAACTGTCAACTCCCATTTTGTAAAGTAAAAGGACAAATGCAACATTTTGCTCTCCATGAGCTTTGCCAAGCTGTTACAAACAATACATGGACACAGAGGGTACATATAGGCATAGTCATCGTTGTCACCAGGTCAACAAAATCTCCGGGAGGGACAGGAACATTAAGGTCCTGATTGATTGTTGACCTGACTGAACTCTGCATTAATTTCAACTTTTTCTTTCAATAACAGACTCTACAAACAAACCTAGGGCATGGGTATGGGGTCCCCATCAGTGCCGTCTTAGCCAACTTGTACAAGGAACACCTAGAGGCTGAATACTTCAACATCATCCCCTCAAGCGTCACTTGGTTATGTTACATGGACAACGTCCTCATAATAACTCCCAAACGTTTTGATGTATGGAATCTTCAGGCAAGGCTCAATGCAGTTTACACAAGAAGAGTCCAATGACAAGCTACCTACAGAAACCTACAAATAAAAATAATCTCACACACTTCTATTCCAGTCAAGATACAAAGACCAAAAGAGGCATCATCATTGGATTTTTCCTAAGTGCATACCGAAGTTGTAGTCCTCAGTTTCTTTATGAGGAATGCACATACATTCACCAAACCTTCACTGATTTACATTTCCCTTCCCTTTCATCAAAGATTGCAGGAATAGAGCTCTTCAGATCATTAATTCTCCACACACCAACACCACTCCATACAAAGTTATAATTCTTCTCAACAGCCAGGTTGCACTGAACGTTCCTAAAGTACAGTGGACCCCTGCCTTACGATATTAATCCATTCCAGAGAGCTCATCGTAAGCCGAAATTATCGTTACCCGAATTAATTTTCCCCATAAGAAATAATTTTATTACACAAACTGAAAAAGACATGCACAATTACTACTCTACTAAGAATAGAATACATGACACCTTTATTGAAGATCTGGTGATGATTGATAGGATGGGAGAGAGTGAAGTTATTGTTTAGAAGGGGAATCCCCTTCGATTAGGACTTTAGGTAGCAAGTCCTTATCCGGGGTTACTTCCCTTCTTTTAATGCCATCTTGAGTCACTGGAACTCTGTTGCACAACAAATCTGTCCATAGAGCTCTGTACCTCCCGTTCCTTAAAGACTTTCCTAAAATGGGTCATAACACTCATTGTACAGGTTGCCAGCACGGCTTGCAGTAGCTGTATCAGGGTGATTTTCGTTCGTAAAGGTTTGCAATTCAACCCACTTTGCACACATTTCCTTAATCTCTATTTTCAACTCCATACTAATTCTCGCCCTTTCTACCACAGGGACGGCACTAGAAGCTTTCTTGGGGTCCATGGTGACTTATTTTGCAGTTACAAGCACTAAAAACACTGGGAATATGTGAAATGTACTGAATGTATGCGTAGATGCGACTGCAATGGCTGGCTTGTAAACACTGGCGCTGAGGCTACACGTGGGACGTGTCCTGGACGAATCACGTAGGGCAGAGGCAAAATTTTTGCGTTCAAGTGCTTCGTATGGCGGATTTAACGTAACGTGATGCGTTCGTAAGGCGGGGGTCCACTGTACTTCCACAAGCTAACACTAGAGTTGCCATCGCTTCCAGCACTTCAATAAAGGATCTAACCAGGACAAAATCCAAGCACCATGAACCAGTCAATGCAGGGGTTTACACTGCCCTGTGGAGGCTGTGACAGGATTATGTAGGTGAAACAGCAAGAAACCTCGAAACCCGCCTCAGTGAACAGATTTATGCATGTCGGAACGATAACTTGAACAATGCTGAAATTCCACCTGCCATCTCATGAATTCATGGACGCCTGATTAGTGATCAAAGAAACGAATTTCCGCAGACGCAAATGCCTTGAATCATCACTAATCGCTGTTTCTAATACAATTAACCCTTAAACTGTCCAAACGTAGAACTACTTTTTTTACATGCTTTCAAAATGGAGAAAATAAAGGTCGAAGCACTAAGCCCAAACGTAGATCTACGTTTGAACAGTTTAACCCGTAAACGGTCCAAATGTATATATACGTTTTGTGTGTCCTACATTTAACATTGCCACGATAAGCCTGACTCGCCTAGACATGCGAGAATGGGTGTGAGCAGTCACTGTGCACCATATTAAAATAATTGGGGATGCCTGGGTACCATATGCTTTTTTTTCCTATTAAAAAACAACTTTTTTTCTCAAAAAAGTAGGGGCATTACGGTAATGAACGTATATATACGTTTGGACCGTTTACGGGTTAAGGGTTAAAGAAAACAAAGGCAGCTTCACCATTTCTGAAGTCTTAGCAAGAATCCTCCTGAAAACAGTAAACCCTGCCATCACACAGTCTCTGCTAATACTACACAAGCACATTACAGAGGATGAACACTGAAACAGGCCTTCCCTAATCCAACCTTCAACAGAAATATTTATTTTTTTATTTTTATTATCACACTGGCCGATTCCCACCAAGGCAGGGTGGCCCGAAAAAGAAAAACTTTCACCATCATTCACTCCATCACTGTCTTGCCAGAAGGGTGCTTTACACTACAGTTTTTAAACTGCAACATTAACACCCCTCCTTCAGAGTGCAGGCACTGTACTTCCCATCTCCCGGACTCAAGTCCGGCCTGCCGGTTTCCCTGAATCCCTTCATAAATGTTACTTTGCTCACACACCAACAGCACGTCAAGTATTAAAAACCATTTGTCTCCATTCACTCCTATCAAACACGCTCACGCATGCCTGCTGGAAGTCCAAGCCCCTCGCACACAAAACCTCCTTTACCCCCTCCCTCCAACCCTTCCTAGGCCGACCCTACCCCGCCTTCCTTCCACTACAGACTGATACACTCTTGAAGTCATTCTGTTTCGCTCCATTCTCTCTACATGTCCGAACCACCTCAACAACCCTTCCTCAGCCCTCTGGACAACAGTTTTGGTAATCCCGCACCTCCTCCTAACTTCCAAACTACGAATTCTCTGCATTATACTCACACCACACATTGCCTCAGACATGACATCTCCACTGCCTCCAGCCTTCTCCTCGCTGCAACATTCATCACCCACGCTTCACACCCATATAAGAGCGTTGGTAAAACTATACTCTCATACATTCCCCTCTTTGCCTCCAAGGACAAAGTTCTTTGTCTCCACAGACTCCTAAGTGCACCCACTCACTCTTTTTTCCCTCATCAATTCTATGATTCACCTCATCTTTCATAGACCCATCCGCTGACACGTCCACTCCCAAATATCTGAATACATTCACCTCCTCCATACTCTCTCCCTCCAATCTGATATTCAATCTTTCATCACCTAATCTTTTTGTTATCCTCATAACCTTACTCTTTCCTGTATTCACCTTTAATTTTCTTCTTTTGCACACCCTACCAAATTCATCCACCAATCTCTGCAGCTTCTCTTCAGAATCTCCCAAGAGCACAGTGTCATCAGCAAAGAGCAGCTGTGACAACTCCCACTTTGTGTGTGATTCTTTATCTTTTAACTCCACGCCTCTTGCCAAGACCCTCGCATTTACTTCTCTTACAACCCCATCTATAAATATATTAAACAACCACGGTGACATCACACATCCTTGTCTAAGGCCTACTTTTACTGGGAAAAAATTTCCCTCTTTCCTACATACTCTAACTTGAGCCTCACTATCCTCGTAAAAACTCTTCACTGCTTTCAGTAACCTACCTCCTACACCATACACTTGCAACATCTGCCACATTGCCCCCCTATCCACCCTGTCATATGCCTTTTCCAAATCCATAAATGCCACAAAGACCTCTTTAGCCTTATCTAAATACTGTTCACTTATATGTTTCACTGTAAACACCTGGTCCACACACCCCCTACCTTTCCTAAAGCCTCCTTGTTCATCTGCTATCCTATTCTCCGTCTTACTCTTAATTCTTTCAATTATAACTCTACCATACACTTTACCAGGTACACTCAACAGACTTATCCCCCTATAATTTTTGCACTCTCTTTTATCCCCTTTGCCTTTATACAAAGGAACTATGCATGCTCTCTGCCATGCTCTGCATGCTCTCTCCCTAACCTATTTTTATGTTACCCAAGTAATAGGTTTTATATCCTTTTACTCATGTGCAAGTTCATTGTTCTACCACACTGTATTACTACAAACTTCTATCACTACTACTACTACTATCACCACTACTAGAATTACACCTCACTAAGCCTATATATACCCTCTGAGTCCATGTATTGTTTGTAACAGCTTGAGAAAGCTCCTGGAGAGCGAAACGTTGCTACAATAAAATGTCACATTAGTTGCACACGAGTCCTTTTACTTTACATATTGTTGGTAATTCTATCAACATATATACAACTCCCACTTTCTATTTGATTCCCCATAATTTAATCCCATCCCTCTCACCAAAACCCTAGCATTTACTTTTTTATAATATAAAAGATACAAGAGTGAATATGGTATTTAAATTAAAAAATGCAAAACATAAGGCAAATAAAGAATTTACGTCAAGACAAGACTTACCATGATTACGGCTGCTCTTCCTCTTCTTGAAACACTTCTCTGTAAAATACACAGTATAAACATCTGCTTTCTACCAATAACATTATATTCATTCCAATGAACAAAATTCAGCTATTGTTTCATTAACTGCAATCAGTAATTCCATTATCATAAAACGATGTACATGTGTTGAGAGAGAGACCTTTATGAATAGTGGAAGTCAAATAACTACAGTATAAAATGAACAATAGGTTTCTAATTATCAGTTACCTACACAATATATTCATCAATTTATTCCCTGCAAAATCATAAAATTTGTGTTGAAGATAGAACTAAAACTACTCAAATTATACTTACTAGGCTAATGTACAAGAAAAAAATTCTTGTGGCCAAAATTGGCCTCTGTACTCTTCTCTGATTGCAGGGGTCAAGTCTCAGCTCCTGGTCCAATCTGCCATATTCAGTCAAGTCTGTCATACCTATTATTAACACTATGTATAGAGTCTACCTCCACCACCAAGTTGAGATCATCCTAATTACCACCCTGACTGAAAAAATACTTCCTGTGCCCTCAATTACCTGTATCCAGCTTCTCAAACAACCTGTCATCTGCCCTATCAAGTCCTCTGAGCATTTTGTATGCTTTAGTCTTTGGTCATTTTGTTCTCCAGGGTTGTTAAATTCAATTCCTCTTGTCTCTCTTTGTAACTCTTACCCCTTACCTCAGGAACTGGTCTCATTGCATACTTCTCACTTTCTCCAGTTTAACACATTTCCTTAGGTGCTTTGACACTTACAAAAGAGCATAAAAAAAAGTTTGTCAAGTAAAAATAAATTATTTAGTACCCTAAACCGATCAAGTTGCTAGTTTACATAATTATTTTATGCAATTAATACTTCCCATCGATACAGCACTTGTATTTGATTATTTATATTGTAAAATACAGAATTTTGAAAGTATTTCATCCATTTTAAATTCATTTTTTGCAGTTAGTGGATAATTTCAAAGTAAAGAAATCAATTGCCCTAAGCAGTATTATTTACACTTAGCAAATGCTTGGATTTATTATTTTTTATGGCAGCCAGAGTGGAAAAACTTTCTTTACCACATTCAAATGTAAATCTTTATACCTACATTTGTTTAACGTATCATTTACATATTCATTCAGAAAAGGCTGAAATGTTACTATATTCATGAGTACTAAACCCCTAGGGGTCATACTGCACATGGAGAATGGAAAGATTTCATATTCAAAAGGTGAGGAAGGGGGTTGGTAATGCAAATTCATTAAAAATATCAATTGCACATTCACTCGTCTATCTCTGAACTACAGGTTGACCATCAGTAATCCGGCAATCAGTTATCCGGTTCCATCAGTAATCCGACATTAATTTTGGCTACCTGGAGGTTATTCCGGGGATCAACGCCCCCGTGGCCTGGTCCACGACCAGGCCTGGCATAATTTCAAATTTCATCATAATACTAACTCGAATCATACCGACTCAGAAATTGTGAAGATGGTTGTAAATCCACAGCAGCAAGCCAATGGAGGAGAAAAGTGATGAAAATGAAGATGTTGCAGTCTTTATTGCTAAGTTAATTAAGTGTACTCTAACCTAACCACTCTAATCTGGCAAACTCGCCTAATCTGGCACACTACAGGTCCCAATGATGCTGGATTAGTGATGGCCGACCTGTATCATTTATAAATTCAGATATGTCATCTAATGACATATCTGAATCCAGTAAACCTACTTGAAATATGAAATCAGGAAATTAAAAAAAGAAACATTGGCTTTACAATAATTGAATAACTAAGCAAAAACTTTACATGCTAAGATTAATATACTTTTAAACCACTCCCGGGTTACCACTTAACCAAACCCCAAGTTCCAGGCGGAAAGTAGTGCTCACACTACTAGAGGAACTGAAATTGTGTGGTTTATTTGAAATGTGATGGCCCTTCACTTCTAGAAGCAGATTGGAATGTTATAATTTTTTCCCATGGGGTCACGCTTCCTTAACCCTTTGACTGTTTTCGACGTATAAATACGTCTTACGAGCCAATGTTTCTGACGTATATACTCAATAATTCTAGCGGCTTCAAATCAAGCGGGAGAAAGTTGGTAGGCCCACATGTGAGAGAATGGGTCTGTGTGGTCAGTGTGCACCACATAAAAAAAAAACCCGCAGCACACATTGCATAATGAGAAAAAAAAAACTGATCGTTTTTTTGGAATAAAACGCCGACTTTGAGGTGTATTTTCGTATAGTATTTATCGTTGTATTCGCGTTTTCATGGTCTTAGGTGATAAAATGGAAAATATATTACAGAAGTAGAGATGATTTTCATTACTTTGACGATGAAAACGACCTTGAAGCTGAGCTCTAAGTAGCGGAAATGTTCGATTTTTACCAATGTTCAGGAGTAAATAAATCACATCACACGTCCAATACATGTCAACTGGGGAGTCTAATACTCTTTCACTATTGCACTGATATTATTTATACCATTTTTACAATAATGCAGTAGTCTGCATAACAGTAAATTTTGTATTTTTTTGTATGAATAAAAAATCAAAATAGAAAGCAATAATAATATAAGAGGGGCCTAGAGTGCGACTAATGAACAGAGCATATGTTATTTTAGTGCCACGAATGTCTACCTTGTTTATTCTGGACCTTATTTTGAAATTGGCATCTTTTTTAGTTTGCGTGAAATTGGCAAAATTGCCAATTTCTGACCACCATATTGGGTAGTCCAAATTAGTAAATGGGAGGTTTCTTGTACTCAGCTGATAGATAAAATGGAGTTCTAAAGAAATAGCTATGAGTTTGGTCAAGTGGAACAATGGAATTGGCTGAAAATAGGGCTCAAAGTCAGCGAAATCGCCGATACTCATATGTCGCCGAGACCGCTAAATTCGCGGGAGCATAATTCCATGAGTTTTCGACCAAATTTCGAACTTTTGGTGTCATTACCATTGGGAAAAGATTCTTTATCATTTCATAAAAAAAATTTTTTTTTTCAAAAAATTGAGCGACATAGAATGACAGTTTCAGAGAGGGGCCTGAAACAGTCAAAGGGTTAATAAGAAAGGAAAAATGCTAAAAAAATAATATACAAAGATTCTATTTATGGAGCATTAAATTCACAAATAATGCATGAAGTACACATTTTGGTGGATCCAACCTGAAGCATTATGTGCAAGAAAGGTATAAAATACCGACAATATAAAAGTTAAGACACATGTGCAACATCTGGATATCTTTATTGTAGACGTTTCGCCATCCAGTGGCTTTATCAATACAGATTCTAGGACATAATAGGAAGACAGTAGAACTATATACAAAAGATGAGGTAATCAGCCCCTCGGCCTTGGAGTTAGTGTTCACAGCATTGTGGTGGAGGAGATTCTCCTCCACCACAATGCTGTGAACACTAACTCCAAGGCCGAGGGACTGATTACCTCATCTTTTGTATATAGTTCTACTGTCTTCCTATTATGTCCTAGAATCTGTATTGATAAAGCCACTAGATGGCGAAACGTCTACAATAAAGATATCCAGATGTTGCACACGTGTCTTAACTGAAGCATTATAAAGTTGAACGCAGTTTCCTCTTATGTGGATTATTTGGAATTCTGGAATTAGATACAAAAAGCTTTACCCAGAAAACATTCACATTTAGGAATATGAAAAATCAATACAAGCAGTTCTGTTTATTAACGACGACCACCATGTCCTCCGTGACCTGGTCGACCTGCCCTGGGCATCTTTGGGGCCTTTTGGGTTGCTTTCTTTGTCTGTTGGGAGAAACAGTACAGAATTCAGATGCTTTCAGTTAAATTAACAAATTATGAAATAAAAAATTAAAATGAAACAGGAAATTTTATTACATACTAGTATAAATTGTAATTTATAAACCTACAGTAATCAAATCAATCTATACACTGACATCCATGCAAGCTCCTGTAACCTTTTAACTGTAGCATACTCAAATTTCCTGTTTAAAAAAAAAAAAAATTTCAAATAAAACAAAGGAACAAAATCTGATGAATTATTATTATTATAATCAAAAAGAAGCGCTAAGCCACAAGGACTATACAGCGCTGCAGGGCAGGAAGGAAGCAAGGGCATCAGGTGGCAAAAGGGAGATGGATGAGCAACATGTTACGGATAACAGCGGGGCAGTGGATGGTGAAAGGGTAAAGGGCAGCAAGAGACTGAACCAGAAAGGGCTGAGGGGAGTGCGAAAAGTATCATCAGAGTTTGTGGAGTAAATCAGTCGTTGTCAAGAAGTCAATGAGAGAGTCAGGATTAAAGGAGGGTCCATCAGCAAGAAGGGAAGGTAACGAGAGAGTAGGAGAACGAAGACGACGTTGGAGGTAAATTCTGCGTGCTCGTTGATAGAGAGGGCAGTCTAACAGAATGTGGCTAATCGATACTGGAACTTGACACTGCTCACAGAGAGGAACAGGGTGCCTCTCCATGAGATACCCATGAGTAAGACGATGTGTGGCCAATGCGAAGGCGGGAGAGAGTGGTCTCCCAACCTCGGCACTGATGACAAGAAGACGGCCAGTAACCTATGCTCGGTTTAATAGAATGAAGTTTGTTACCGAGCAGAGTTGACCAACGTTGTTGCCAACGGGTGCGAAGGTGGGTAGCTATTGCAGCAAAATAGTCCAGAAATGGAACACCTCGATAGGAAATTGGTAGGTCACATACTGCTGACCGCGCAGCAGTGTCTGCCTGTTCATTGCCCTGTACGTCGACATGACCAGGGACCCAACAAAAAACAATATCTTTATGTTTGGTAGAGATACGGCGTAGCCAAAGTTGGATACGGAGAACTAGGGGATGAGATGTATCAAATTTTCGTATAGCCTGTAGAGCACTAAGGGAGTCTGAGACTACTACAAATGATGACACAGGCATAGATGCGATACGAATAAGTGCTGCAAGAATGGCATACAGTTCAGCAGTAAAAATGCTAGCTGAAGATAGTAAATGCCCTCGTACGACGCTGTCCGGAAACACTGCTGCGAATCCGACGCCGTCTGAAGACTTAGAGCCATCTGTGTACACAGCGGTGGCATGAGAATGGGAGTGGAAGTGATCAAGAAAAAGAGAGCGGGAAGCCACCGTAGGCAGTTGAGCTTTCGAGCAAGGGAGTGAGAAAGAACAGACCCGAACAGCTGGAACTTCCAGGGGGGTAGGGAAAAGTGAGATGCTACATGAACATATAAAGGTGGTAACTGAAGGGAAGACAAGAGTGAAAGTAGGCGAAGAGAAAAGGGACGGAGCAAACAGGGGCGGCGAACGAATAAAGAATGTCTACTAATATCGGTGACCATTCTATAAATGGAAGGATTGTGTAGATCGTGAGAGCGTACATAGTAACGAAGGCAATGGGCATCACGGCGATCAGACAAGGATGGAACATTTGCTTCTGTATAGAGGCTCTCAACAGGGGAAGAGCGAAAAGCACCAATGCACAAACGTAAGCCTTGGTGATGGATAGAGTTAAGGCTAGAGAGAGTAGCAGGAGAGGCCGCGGAATAAATCTGGTCACCATAATCGAGTTTCGATAAAACGAGGGCTGAATGTAGGCGAAGCAGAGTTCGACGATCAGCTCCCCAGGAAAGATGAGCAAGGGTTTTAAGAAGGTTTAGCCGGCTGTGACAAGTTGCCTTCAGAGAGGTAATGTGAGGTTTCCAGGTTAACCGACGGTCAACAAAAAAAAAAAAATCTGATGAAAACACTAATGGTGTGGAGAAAAATGATCACTCGTCAGTAACAGCAGCATAAATGTACCAATGATAGCAGCATTTGACAACTTTTGGTGTCATTATGATTGGGAAAAAAATTCTCTATCTTTTTCACAAGAATTTTTTTTTTTTTTAAATTGGCCGACCCTGAGAATGAGTCTCGGAGAGGGCCTGTCGACCCTCAAAGGGTTAATATGGCATCTTCAAGACCATTACCACACTTATTGATTTTAATGTGTACCTGCACACCAGCACAGGTGCAAGATGTAGAGTTTAAAGTAGTTAAGTTCACATTTTATTCATTATTGAGAGTATCAGGCTTTTATGTTATTTATATTATTTATTACGTCATTTTAGATGAATTGTGATAGATAAGCTGTCCAGTGATATTAGCATCACAATGAAGATGTGACAACTCTGCTTCATGTGTAATACCTATTGGTTCATGAGCGGCTCAGAGACAAGCAGAAAGACACAGACAGGAAGACAATAGATATAGACAGATACAGATAGATATATGTGCAAGAGTGAAAACAAATAGAAAGTTCAAGAGTAAGAGCCTTCTTGTCACAATCTCCAGTGACAAATTCAGACTTCCTCTTAGGGGCCATGGTGAAATTTACTGTCCAGTTAGTACAGTTAATACAGTACATATGATGCTGCTGATAGGGCAGGGTAACTCAAACTGATACTGCCTGCATGGCGTATTGTCGCCGCAAATATCATCAAATATTGTACAGTGGCATGTATCAGCCGGCCAAGCCCAGCTGCCAAATGTACGGTCACAAGTCGAGTGGACGTATGTCGAGCAGGTCCTAAGTCAGATGGTAGGTGTATTTCTAGAAAATACACCTACCATCCGACTTACGACCGAGTTCGGTTCCGAGAAACCGGTCGTAAGTCGAAATGGACGCAAGTCGAACTTTACTACTGAATATCAACATCACATTTTTTGTAATAACTTTATTTTAGTTTTATTTAGGTATTTCATGTTTTACTTTATTTTTTATGCTGTTAGTACTGTATTTTATACTGTAAGGTTTAGGATAAACACTGTGTACAACACAAATAGTCGTTTATTTCCCAGAAATTTGAAAAAAAAAAAAAAAAAAAAAAAAAGGTCTAAGTTGAGTGGTCGCAAGTCGAGCAGGTCGTAAGTCGGATGGTAGGTGTATATGACCAAAGAAGGTGAACATGTTCACCCCTCTGAATATTTGATTACTATTTCATTACTAACATTAGTGTCAGAACAAAGAATGGACTATAAAAGTGGTCTAGGATATTTGCAGTTTGGAGCGACATCTGAATTGTCTTATCTATGTGCCTCTGCAAAAACCGATTGTGTGTGAATGATGGCAAAAGTTTTTTTTTTTTTAAGGTCACCCTGCCTCAGGAGACAGCCAGCATGTTAAAAATTACACACACACACACACACACACACACACACACACACACACACGAATGATTTACCTTTCCTGGAGCAGGGGCATTAGCTTTCTTGTTGGCTTTTGCTGCTTTGGTCTTTTCTTTTGCTGCCCTAAAATAGACAATGTCCTTAATTAAATTACTTAAATGAAAATCAAATATTTACATGATCACTAAACAACTTGGACAACAATACAGAACACTAATTAAACTAACCTAATAGCTTGTTCTCGTTGGGCCTTGCGAACCTCAGGTTTCATGTTCCTGAAAAAAACATTAGCTTAAAAAAATTTAATAACCATACATTAAGGATACTAAACTATAAAAATACAAAAAAGTTATTTGTATACATTTTAATGTAACTTCAAAATAATGAAAACTATTATGATGGGAAGCAACAAAGAATGAACAAACCTTTTAGCCATGATATCTGTAAGGGAAGCTCCTACAATAGCACGATGGTACTTCTGGGTACGACGTGTACGTTTCTTTGTTGTCTCTTCCTCCATTCCTTTCTTGTGCTTTCGCCTAGAAAATAAATTTGTACTCCCTTATATGTAGTGCAGTGTGGAAAGGTTAAATTTTTATGAAGATTCGAGCAAGCCAATTACAGTAGGGCCCTGCTTTATGGAGTTTCGCCTTACGGCATTCCGCTAATACAGCAATTTCAAACTATGACCAAAATTTGCTATACGGCGAGCAGTCTTTCAAGTATGGCACCTCCCACCCGGTTTGTATACATTCTCTGTGAGCACAATATTATTTCTGGATATTTTCCAAAATTTCAGGTGTTAACCCTTTCAGGGTCTGTGCTGTAGATCTACAGCTTTACGTTTAGGGTCCAAACCATATATCTACGCCACGAGCTCAGCTCTAATAAACTGAGCAGTAAATTTTGGCCTAAATATGAGAGAATGCATCTATGTGCTGTGTGTGCACCACAAAACAAATCCTGCAGCACACACTGCACGAGAGAAAAAAAAAGACCGTAATTTTCGATTAAGACAGTGATTTTGCAGCATTTTTTCGTATGTTTTTTATAGTTGTATTTGCGATTTCTTGGTCTCATTTGATAGAATGGAAGATATATTACAGAAATAGATATGATTTTGATTGGTTTTAGTAATGGAAATGGTTTGAAACTGAGCTCAAAGTAGTGGAAATGTTAAATTTTTGCCGATGTTCAAGAGTAAACAAATGACCTCACACGTCTAATACACGCCTGCTGGTGGGTCTAATATACGTTCACAAATGTGGTGATATTATTTATACAATTATTACAATATTGCATAACAGTAAATCTTCTACTTTTTGGTTTGAATAAAAATTCATTATGTGAATAAAACATCAAATTGGAATTTATTTGTAAAGCCTGAAAACATAACTAACGAACAGAAGAAATGTTAGTTTAGTGCCAGGAATGCCTGCAGTGTTTATTCTGGACCCTATTTTGAAATTAGAATATTTTGAACTTTGCATTAAATTGGCCAAATTACCAAATTCCGATCACTTTATTTTGTAGTTGAAACAGTTGACTTGGCGATTTCTTGTGCTCACTCGATAGAATAGAAGGAATAATAGTGAAATAGCTAAGAATTTGATCAACTGGAATCATGTAATTGGCCTAAAATGGGAGTGATAATCGGCAAAATCGCTAATGCGTAAATATCACCGACATAAAATTCGCGAGACCATAATTTAGTCAATTTTCCATCAAATTTCGTACTTTTTGTTTTATTACCTTCAGAAAAAGATTGTCTACCATTTCATAAGAAAAAATAACTTTTTTGAAAATTCTTGGACACTGGAGCACAATGAAATTTGGCCTTTGGACCCTGAAATCGTTAGTTATTGTGTATTTTATATGTACTCTGATAATTATACAGTGGACCCCCGCATACCGATGGCATCACATAACGATTAATCTGCATACCGCTTGCTTTAATCGCAAAAATTTTGCCTCGCATACCGCTTAAAAACCAGCTCACCGATTTTCGTCCGAGACGCGTCCAATGTGCGCCCTCAGCCAGCCTCACATGTGCCGCCGGTGGCATTGTTTACCAGCCAGCCTCCGCGGTAACATCCAAGCATACAATCTGAATATTTCGTATTATTACAGTGTTTTCGGTGCTTTTTCTAGAAAATAAGTTACCATGGGCCCCAAGAAAGCTTCTAGTGCCAACCCTACAGCAATAAGGGTGAGAATTACAATAAAGATGAAGAAAAAGATCATTGATAAGTATGAAAGTGGAGGGAGTGCGTGTACTCCGAGCTGGCCAGGTGTCTAGTAAACCCAATCAAGCCAATCGCTACTATGGTGGTACAGCTGCTTGCTGCATGTCAGCTGCTGCTGCTGAGCTGTCTGCTGCTGTAGAGCATCGTCTGCTGCTGCTGTAGCATCGTCTGCTGCTGCTGTAGCATCGTCTGCTGCTGCTGTAGCATCGTCTGCTGCTGCTGTAGCATCGTCTGCTGCTGCTGTAGCATCGTCTGCTGCTGCTGTAGCATCGTCTGCTGCTGCTGTAGCATCGTCTGCTGCTGCTGTACCACCGTTAGCTGCTAGCTGCTGCTGCTTGTAGCATCGTCTGCTGCTGCTGTAGCATCGTCTGCTGCTGCTGTAGCATCGTCTGCTGCTGCTGTACATGCTCTGCTGGTAGCATCTCTGCTGCTGCTGTAGCATCGTCTGCTGCTGCTGTAGCATCGTCTGCTGCTGCTGCTGCTGTAGCATCGTCTGCTGCTGCTGTAGCATCGTCTGCTGCTGCTGTAGCATCGTCTGTTGCTGCTGTACCACCGCAGCTGCTGCTGCTGAGCATCGTCTGCTGCTGCTGTAGCATCGTCTGCTGCTGCTGTAGCACCGTCAGCTGCTGCTGCTGTTGTAGCACCGTTGTTGGTGTGGCTTATTGAGAATACCAAGAAACAATTAACCCAGAGGATTTGCCACCCAGGATAACCCAAAAAAAGTCAGTGTCATCGAAGACTGTCTAACTTATTTCCATTGGGGTCCTTAATCTTGTCTCCCAGGATGCAACCCACACAAGTCGACTAACACCCAGGTGAACAGGGAAAAATGCCTGGAACTAGTGCTCATATTGGTGAATTTAAAGCCAGCAAAGGTTGGTTTGAGAGATTTAAGAATCGTAGTGGCATACACAGTGTGATAAGGCCTGTTCTGGAAGAAAATGCCAAACAGGACCTACAGTACTCAGGAGGAAAAGGCACTCCCAGGACACAGTGTCTCATCAGTCATTGCTGCATCTTCAATAAAGGTAAGTGTCATTTATTCTTCATTTAGTAGACTAGTACATGCACAATATATACTGTGCATGTACTACTCTACTATTGTGCATGTATCCTTCTCTTTGTGTGTAGGAAAATGTATATTTCATGTGGTAAAATTTTTTTTTTCATACTTTTGGGTGTCTTCCACGGATTAATTTGATTTCCATTATTTCTTATGGGGAAAATTCATTCGCATACCGATTATTTCGCACAACAATGACCCCTCTTGCACGGATTAAAATCGGTATGCGGGGGTCCACTGTACTTATGTGTACCTGTACCTAAATATACTTACACACTGTACTGGCATGAAGGTACACACTAAAATCACCAAGTCTCTCTACTTGACACCATATAATCTCATGGGTGCTTTAGCCCTTTCAGGGCTAAAGGGGAAGGGGTGCCCCAGTGTCCAAGAAATTTTTTGGGGGAAAAAAAAAAAAAAAAAAAAAAAAAAAAAATTACAGAATTAGAGTATATTTTCGTGAAGGTAATAATAAAAAAAATCTGATCAATACTTACCAAGATACAGAGGCGAGAGGTTGACCCAAAATGACCGGGTGGCGACAACATCAGCGATTTCCACAAACTCGCATTTCTTTATTTTACGTCTTTTTATACTTTTTTCTTTTTTCTCTATTTTTTTCCTTTTCTAGTAACATATGTGGCCTGCGAGACCAATACTGTATATAATGTATATACACTCGCTGTATTGAACACAATAACTGTACTAAAGTTATTGTTATATTGTTTACCACTCTTATTACAATAAACATGCACAAATCTTGTGTAATACTAATGTTCTATTATATATTTACATATGTACAATCACTTGACATGTTTTTAGAACTGCTGCCGCTTGTGGAACTCCTTGAAACAAGGCACCATGCACAGAGGTACCTTACATTCCACACACAAACCGAGTATCTTTGTTGCTGTCGTTTTGTTTGTGCACAGACAACACATCTCTTCTGAGCAAATTTCTTCTTAGTTGCAGGAAGCTGTATTATGAAGTGATCACCTTCCCTCCTCAAAATGCTTGGGTATTTCGTAAGGAGTTCGAGGACAGTTTTGTACAGCAGGTATTGTTACTTGGTACTTCATTATGAGTTGTCTAACAAACAAAACTCACCATACGGTGGTCTGTTGCCAGTCTTCATTTGGTACATATTATATGCATCGAGTATTGAAATGTCCACGAGATGGAAGAAAAGTTTCACGTACCACTTGTAACTCTTACGAACACAATCAACAAAGCCAATCTGCATGTCACATATGTCAACCAAGAGCATGTTTTGTGTATAATCAATCACTGACTGGTTTTCGAATGCGTTCATTAGTCACTATCAATTCTGGCACTGTATTGCATTTCGTTACGGTGAATGGTTGTCAACAGTGCGACATCTCGTTTGTCATGCCACCATACTGCCATGATGTCATTGGCAGTAAACACCTGCACCTCATCACCATGAGTGCCTGCATTGAACCTGGGCATACGATTAGAATGCACTGTGCCACACACATCTGTCATGTTCACTCACAAGAAATCACTGAGTAAAGGGCTTGTGTACCAGTTATCAGTATATAATGTATGCCTCTTACCAAGATAAGGTGCCATCGTGCTTCTTACTACGTCACCTGAGATACCCGATAACATCCTGGTATCTTTAAATGTTTTACTTTCCGTGTATACAACAATATCCAATACCAGGCCACTGTCACAGTCACAGAGTCCAGTTTTATACCAAAGCATTTCCTCTTGCTCAGTATACTGTTTGAATGACAGTCTACCTTTGAACAAAATCAAAAACTCGTCAATTACAAGACTCTTGAATGGATAAAAGTACATGTTGAACTTTTCTCTCAGATACATAAAAACATTTCTAATCTTGTATAATCTGTCAGGCCTGGTTTTGTCAGAGAAGTGCAACATACGTAACAGTAAGACAAACCTGCTCACTGGGATGATTTCACTGAAGGCTGAGGTACAAATTAGCCGATCTGTTGACCAGTATGATTTTATATTATGCTTACAGACATGAGGCATAAGCATTATTGTTGCAAAAGAGCAAATACATTTCTGCAACAGTCATCTCTTTCAACCGGTGTAGTCTTGAATATGGTGATATCGTATTTGCCATGGTGTACTCAAAATACTTTTTCCTTTCCCTGACAGTTTCCATCAAGGGCTGGTCAAAGAATAGTTCAAAAAATTGAACTTCATTTGCAGTGTTTCCAAGGGGACAAGTAGGTAGAATTCCACTTTGAGAGTTGTCAAACTGGTGGGGCTTGGGAACAAAACTGGGATTTTGCTGCCAATCCCAGATACGGTTTGCTGGTGGATACTGGACATCATAAGCTGGTTATGCTGGTAGTTGTGGTTGTGGTGGGCTGGTGGCTGACACTCGGCTTTGTCCTTGAGCTGAGGAGTCAGTGGCGTGGGTCTCAGCCTGGGCTGGCGAGTCATGCATAGCTGTGGCACTACTATCACCACTACCACCACCTACTGATGCCTGTGGTCTATCCATGCCAAGTGTAGCCACATCATCCTCACTGTCACTGTCTATTCCTGGTGTAGGGCCACAGGATGTACTCCATCCCCTGGGCACTGCATAGGGTACACTACCTGCGCGAAGCGGCGGCGTATATACTGACGCTTCACTGGCGAGCATGTTTCCTCTATCACTACTCGAATGATCGTCAAGAGCAATAAAGTCACAATCCACGCCACTATCATCATTACTGAAGTCAGAGGCCTGGCAACACGATGAGGTACAACTTGCGATGAGGTACAACTGAATGTGACTGGGACGTGCCCACACCAGAGGTAGAAGGTTGAGGATCGTCAGGATTTTCTGCACTATTATCGAAATCCTGGTCATTCCTTTCGGTCACTAACTGATCAAAGCCATAGATTTCGTCTTCATTTCCACTTCCATCAGTCAGAACTATCGGACAGGAAAAGGAGAGTCCCACTTTTCCTTGGAGTGAGAGCTTCCTTGCAACGAGGCATGGTGAACAAAGGTAACCAAGCCGGCGTTCCCACAATGCTACGAGGGCGCCTAGAATCTCTCTTCACGGCGCACACCCACCACGCAGACCCATTCTCTCGCATGTAGGCCTACCATCCTTCTTGCGCTAAATTTGAAGCGGTTAGAACTCTGGCGTAGATCTACGGTTTGGACCCTCAAGGTGTTAAATGTCATACAGTGGAACCTCGCCTAACGAACGCATCGCGTAACGTTAAATCCGCCTAGCGATACATTTTAACGCAAAAATTTTGCCTCGGCTAGCGCTAAAAAACTCACTCAACGTGGTTCGTTCGAGACACGTCCACGTGCGGCCTGAGCCCGCCTCACTTGTTCCTTGGGTGCCAGTGTTTACAAGCCAGCCACCGCGGTCGCTTCCAAGCATACAATCGGAACATTTCATATTATCTCAGCCTTTTTAGTGATTACACCTTCAAAATAACTCAACATGGACCCCAAGAAAGCTTCTAGTGCCAACCCTACAGCAAAAAGAGTGAGAATTACTATGGATATGAAGAAAGAGATCATTGCTATGTATGAAAGTGGAGTGCGTGTCTCCGAGCTGGCCAGGTTGTACACAAAACCCCAATCAACCATCGCTACTATTGTGGCCAAGAAAATGGCAATCAAGGAAGCTGTTCTTGCCAAAGGTGCAACTTTGTTTTCGAAACAGAGATCGCAAGTGATAGAAGATGTTGAGAGACTGTTATTGGTGTGGATAAACGAAAAGCAGATAGCATCTCTCAAGCGATCATATGTGAAAAGGCTAGGAAGTTGCATGACGTTTCAATTAGAAAAATGCCTGCAACTAGTGATGCGAGTGAATTTTAAGGCCAGCGAAGGTTGGTTTGAGAGATTTAAGAATCGTAGTGGCATACATAGTGTGATAAGGCATAGTGAGGCTGCCAGTTCGGACCACAAAGCGGCTGAAAAATATGTGCAGGAATTCAAGGAGTACATAGACAGTGAAGGACAGAAACCTGAACAAGTGTTTAATTGTGACGAAACAGGCCTGTTTTGGAAGAAAATGCCAAACAGGACGTACATTATTCAGGAAGAAAAGGCACTCCCAGGACATAAGCCTATAAAAGACAGGCTTACTCTGTTGATGTGTGCCAATGCTAGTGGTGATTGCAAAGTGAAGCCTTTATTGGTGTATCACACAAACTCCCAGTGTGTTCAGGAAAAACAAAGTCCTCAAGGCTAATTTGTGTGTGCTGTGGAGGGCAAACAGTAAGGCATGGGTCACTAGGGTCTTTCTATGACTGGTTACACCATGCATTTGCTCCCACTGTGAAAATTACCTAACTGAAAAGAAATTAGACCTTAAGTGCCTCCTGGTATTAGACAATGCTCCTGGTCATCCTTCAGACGTGGCAGAGCGACTTTCTGTGGAAACGAGCTTCATTAAGGTCAAGTTTTTGTCTCCTAATACCACTCCTCTCCTGCAGCCAATGGACCAGCAGGTCATTTCCAACTTCAAGAAACTGTACACAAAAAGCTATGTTTGAAAGGTGCTTTGTAGTGACCTCAGAAACTCAATTGACTAAGAGAGTTTTGGAGAGATCACTTTAGCATCCTCAATTGTGTAAACATTATAGGTAAGGCTTGGGAGGAAGTGACTAAGAGGACCTTGAACTCTGCTTGGAAGAAACTGTGGCCAGAATGTTTAGACAGGGGATTTTGAAGGGTTTGAGGCTAACCCTGGGAATCCTATGCCAGTTGAGGAATCCATTGTGGCATTGGGGAAGTCCTTGGGGTTGAAGGTTAGTGGGGAGGATGTGGAAGAGTTGGTGGAGGAGGACAATGAAGAACTAACCACTGATGAGCTACTAGATCATCTTCAACAGCAAGAGGCCACACCCAAGTTAACTGCTTCAGAGGGGGGGATAGAGAAATTGAGGAAGTTGCCTACTTCAAAGATTAAGGAAATGTGTGCAATGTGGCTTAAAGTGCAAACCTTTTTTGATGAAAATCACCCTCACACAGCTATTGCAAGCCGTGTTGGCAACCTGTACACTGACAATGTTGTGAAACACTTTAGGAATGTCATAAAGGAACGGGAGGTACAGGCCTCTATGGACAGATATGTTGTGCGACAGACGTCCAGTGACTCAAGTTGGTCCTAGTGGCATTAAAAGAAGGGAAGTAACCCCGGAGAAGGACTTGCCACCTCAAGGCCTAATGGAAGGGGATTCCCCTTCTAAACACTAACACCATCAACACTCTCCCCCTCCTCCCATCCCATCAATCATCATCAGATCTTCAATAAAGGTGTCATGCAACTGTGCATGTCTTCTTCAGTTTGTGTGTATTGAAATTAATATTTCATGTAAATTTTTTTTTTTGTTCATACTTTGGGGTGTCAGGAACAGATTAATTTGATTTCTATTATTTCTTATGGGTAAAATTAATTCGCCAAACGATAATTTTGCCTAACATTGAGCTCTCAGGAACAGATTAATAGTGTTAGGTGAGGGTCCACTGTATTACGTTAATAGTATGGACATTTCTATTAATCCATCTACGATATTTTTTTGTATAATAAACACGCTACGTAACAAACACAATACATTCGCCTACATTATAAAAACTGAAATATATGAGATTTGTTTACCAAGCATTTGGTAGGAGAGTTGAAGAATTATGCTTCCTCTAGTTAAACACCAGTAACTTAAGAAATTTATTCCTTTTGTATGCCTTCACTATTTAGTGCCAAGAATGTCTGCATTATTTATTCTGAACCCTACTTTGAAATTGGCCTGCCTTGAATTCTGTGTGAAATTGGCCAAATTAATCTGTGATCACTATTGTGCTGTGGAAATAGGTAAATGGGCAGTTTCTTGTATGTGCTCAACTGATAGAACAAAAGGAGTTCTGGTGAAATAGCTATGACTTTGGTCAACTGGAACAATGGAATTGGCTGAATACAGGGCTCAGTGGGCAAAATTGCCGATGCATGAATATCGCCTAGATCACTAACTTTTGCAATAGTGTAACTAAGTTTTCCATCAAATTTCACACTTTTGGTTTCATTAACTTCTGAAAAAAATTATCTATCATTTCAGAATTTTTTTTTTTTTAATTCTTTAACCCTGAGAGTAAGTTTGTGAGTTGGGGGCTACAACCCTCAAAGGGTTAAAGAAAGTTGAAGTATAACCTTAAAACTTCCATTATTTATGTTTTTATATGTATAAAAAAGCCAAGAATTCCATTAGCTTCATTGTAAACACTAATGCACTACTATCTTTGCTTTAAATTTCTGTCAACAAGAATTCTTATTTTTTTTTTTTCACATTAAGACATACATTATTTTTCTTTTAACTCCCAGTTATGCTCTTTCTAGGAATCAAGTCTTAGAAAAAACTGCATCAGAGATTTATTCTTTTTTTTTTTTACTTTATTTTATAACTCTTCCTGCATTTTATGAGAAAAACATCACAAAATATAATTGAGACTATCTTAATACAAAAAATATTAGACCCAAATAATTATGGCACACTACCACTGACCTGTATAAAATAGTCCATCGAACCTCACGGGGGTTTCGCCTTAGCATATGCGCACGTTCACACTTAGCACTTAGGAACACATACACCTGAAGAGGAAATCATTAATGTTAAATAAAATTTATCAGATTATTAAAATGCAAATTCATCAGTGCCTTATTAACCAAGACATTACTATAAAAGATGTATGACTGTACCCGACAAGTCACCACTGCTCATTGCACTTTTATGAACATTCCCAAAATATAAAACACACTGAATGTTCTATGAACCATTGAACAATTATAAAACAACCATTTAGGATCATGGTAGTCCTGAAAGCACTGAAAACTATTAGACTAATTTTATTCACTTAGACAAGCAAGAAGGTGATTAGATTAAGGTATTCTTGCACTTATCAGAGCAATATCTGGTGGACTGATCTTACTAGTAGTGTCACTGGTGCATCAAACTGCTTTTCACCTGATACAATATTTTGCTTCAGTTTGATGTTTTGATAATATCCATATTCATTATACACAATCACCATAGAAATTTATGAAAGCTTGTGCTATGGAATTGCAACTCAGTATTTATTATTGTTACAGTTTATTCTTTCTTTGATAATTAAAACAATGGCCAAGTGGAACTTATGTTTTCAAATTTAATTGGTTCCAGATATGAACTCAACAAAGCAATTTTTCCCATAAAGAGCAATGTAAATAAAATTAATCAATTCCAGACTCCAAACAATAATATACCACAGCCTCTCCTCACTTAACCCTTTCAGGGTCCAAGGCCCAAATCTGGAGTCACGCACCAGTGTCCAAGAATTTTCAAAAAAAAAATTGTTATTTTTTCTTATGAAATCGTAGAGAATCTTTTTGTGAAGGTAATAAAACAAAAAGTACGAAATTTGGTGGAAAATTGACGAAATTATGCTCTCGCGAATTTTGATGTGTCAGCGATATTTACGAATTGGCGATTTTGCCGACTTTGACTCCCATTTTAGGCCAATTACATTATTCCAATCAACCAAATTCTTAGCTATTTCACTAGTATTACTTCTATTCTATCGATTGAGCACAAGAAATCGCCAAGTCAACTGTTTCAACTACAAAATAAAGTGATCGGAAATTGTTAATTTGGCCAATTTAACACGAAGTTCAAAATATTCCAATTTCAAAATAGGGTCCAGAATGAACAATGTAGGCATTCCTGGCACTAAACTAACATTTCCTCTGTTCATTAGTTATGTTTTGAGGCTTTACAAATAAATTCCATTTTGATTTTTTATTCACATAATGAATTTTTATTCACACCAAAAAATAGAAGATTTACTGTTATGCAATACTGTAATAATTATATAAATATCATCACCATATTTGTGAATGTATATTAGACCCACCAGCTGACGTGTATTAGACGTGTGAGGTTGTTTGTTTACTCTTGAATATCGGCAAAAATTTAACATTTCCGCTACTTTGAGCTCAGTTTCAAGCCATTTCCAGTGCTAAAACCAATCAAAATCATCTCTATTTCTGTAATATGTCTTCCATTCTATCAAATGAGACCAAGAAATCGCAAATACAACTATAAAAAACATACAAAAAAACACTGCAAAGTTGCCGTTTTAATCGAAAAATCATGATTTCATTTTTTTTCTCTCATTATACACAGTGTGCTGCAGGATCTGTTTTATGTGGTGCACACAAACCACATAGATGTATTCTCTCATATCTAGGCCCAAATGTACCACTCACAGTTTATCAGAGTGAGCTGAGCTCATGGCGTAGATCTACGGTTTGGACCCTGAACGTACAGCCGTAGATCTACGGGACGGACCCTGAAAGGGTTAATGATGGAGTTCCGTACCTAAGACCATGTCGATAAACTAATTCGTCCATAAACAAGGAGCATACTATAATGGTAGGGGGTTTATGTCAACCATCTTTGATATTGTTTCAATGTCAACTATGCGCCATTTATAAATTTTTTAGTATATTTTTAAATGTTTATAAAGTAGTGTACTGCAAAAAAAAAAAAAAAAAAAAGGGCACTACAATGGATCAGGGAATACCTGTCAGGAAGACAGCAACGAGTCAAGGTACGCGGTGAGGTGTCAGAGTGGGCACCTGTGACGAGTGGGTTTCCACAGGGGTCAGTCCTAGGACCGGTGCCGTTTGTTATTTGTGAATGACATGACGGAAGGAATGGACTCCATAGTGTCCCTCTTTGCAGATGTGAAGTTGATGAGAAGAATTCAATTGGATGAGAAGTAGGAAGAACTACAAAGGGATCTGGGCAGGCTGCAGGCCTGGTCCAGCAATTGGCTCCTGGAGTTCAACCCCATCAAATGCAAGTCATGAAGATTGGGGAAGGGCAAAGAAGACCGCAGACAGTACAATCTAGGGGACCTGAGACTACAAACCTCACTCAAGGAAAAAGATCTTTGGGCGAGTATAACACCAGGCACATCTCCTGAGGCGCACATCAACCAAATAACTGCTGCAGCACATGGGCGCCTAGCAAACCTAAGAACAGCATTCCGCCATCTTAAGGAATTGTTCAGGACCCTGTATACTGTGTACGTTAGGCACATATTGGAGTATGCGGCACCAGTTTGGAACCCACATCTAGCCAAACATGTTAAGAAACTAGAGAGTACAAAGGTTTGCAACAAGACTAGTCCCAGAGCTAAGGGGCATGTCCTACGAGGAGAGGTTAAGGGAAATTGACTTGACAACACTGGAGGACAGGAAAGATAGGGACGGCATGATAACGACAAAATACTGAGAGGAATTGACAAGGTGGACAGAGACAGAATGTTCCAGAGATGAGACACAGCAACAAAAGGACACAGCTGAAAATTGAAGACACAGATGAATCACAAGGATGTTAGGAAGTACTGTATTTCTTCAGTCACAGAGTAGTCAGGAAGTGGAATAGCTTGGGAAGCAATGTAGTGGAGGCAGGATCCATTCATAGCTTTAAGCAGAGGCATGATAAAGCTTATGGTGCGGGGAGCGACACCCAGTAGTAGCTAGTGAAGAGGCAGGGCCAGGAGGTATGATATGACCCCTGCATCCACAACTAGGTGAGTACACATACACACAACAAAACTACATGATCCAAACAGCCATACATCAAAATTTTTTTAAATTTAAGGAGTCATATTTAACACCGTGCAACTATGAACAAGTGCACTGTAAACAGACAGTAAAGTACAACCAACAGTGAAACTTCTGGCAATCAATTGCCATACATAATGCAAAAGGGTTTGTCATGTCAAGGCTTTTTTGTTTGTCGAGACAACCCTTCTAAAACATTGTGCTTTAGAAGTCAAATAAGGTCTGTGACATTTTGTTCTAGCATATTAAATGAACCTGCCGACCAATTCTCCGACACAACTCACTGACAAGAGAAGCAACCATACCAGAGTACAGATGCACCATCAACTGAGTGAAAAGTATGGGTTATGGTCAGTGGAAGGGTCAATGCAAACCTATGTTACTGAAAAAAAAATATTCAAGTTAGGTTACTTCATGAAACAGTCACTCTGGACAACCATCAGCTCAACCACAGAGGGAGCATCAAGTACATCAAGGGATGACCGTTTTATGGTACATTGACCCTTTAAAAATATGCAACGGCCTCAATGACTAGGCAAGAACCAGACAGAGAAAAGTCTTGGAACTAATCAAAAGGTATATTAAAAGGTACAAGTGAACAATGAATAGCTTAAAGTTAGGCAAATGCACGAGTAGAAAGCTGCAAATACAACCCACTTCAAAATTGGCCACTAGGCCTACCGCATCCTTCGTACTGTGGGCCTTTTCTTTCAAGTATTAACCCCCTTTCACTATGTCGTACAGATCTATAGCCTCTCCTCGCTTCGAGGTTCGAGGTTCTGACCAGAGCTTTGGTAAGAGGGGGGGGGGGGGAGAGAAGGATGGGTAAGGATGGAAGTTGGGAAAGGTTGGGGAGGGAGGAGGGGTAGGTGGGGTTTATAAAAGGGTAGTGGCCCATCTTAGCGATGTACTCATTTACCAGCGACTGACATACAATGGGCTCTCTGACCAGTATGCATGCCTAAATTATGTATATCAGAGCTGATTTCCAATATTCTGTTTATTACAATAAACATTAAACTACTGTATAAACATTTAAAATACTAACAATTATATAAATGGTGCAAAGATGACATTAGAATAATAAAGATGGCTGACACTACCATTACAGAATGCTTCTTGCTTCACGACCAATTCGTTTACTGATGTGGTACTAAGAATGGAACTCAGTCGTTAAGTGATAAGAACAAAGTAGGAACACTGCAGTAGGCCTGTTGGCCCATACTAGGCAGGTCCTTCACAATCCATCCCACTAACAGAATATTTGCCCAACTCAATTTTGAATTCTACCCAAGCAATAAGCTTTGATAATTATATTAACTCACATGCAACTCCCACTCAAATCCAACCACTCTTACTCATGTATTTGTCCAACCTAAGTTTGAAACTACCCAAGGTTTTAGCCTCAATAACCCTACTGGGCAGACTGCTCCACTCGTCAACTACCCTATTTCCAAACCAATACTTTCCTATATCCTTTCTAAATTTAAACTTGTCTAATTTGAATCCATTATTGCGGGTTTTCTCTCTTGGAGAGAGATCCTCAAGATCTTATTTATATCCCCTTTATTAATACCCATCTTCCACTTGTACACCTCCATCATGTCTCCCCTTATTCTTCGTAAGACGAAGAACGAGGGGTCTCTTGCATAAATCAGTTATTAGCTCAGCTCGCTATGAATAGCCAAGGGGTAAATTTTGGCTTAAGTGAGAGAATGAGTCAGTGCCTGGTCCAAGGCAAGGCTCTGGGAGTAGGAAAACCTCCCAGAACTCTAAAGATAAAGGAATTGTGTATGGTTTAAAATAGCAACTGAGGTGTTTTCTAGGATGGTATTTTTATTGGACGTTTTAGTACCATTTGATAGAATGGAAAATATACTAATTGTAAGTTTGTCTTAAGTTTGCCCAAAATGCTCTGCACATTTGTACAGAGGCTTTTGGCATGTACATTTAACCTTCTGACTGTTGTAACCCCAAATCACGAGGTGTCTCCTGGTGTCGCAAAATATTTGAGTGAGAGAGACTATGGAACATAACTCTAATCCAGGCTGAGGGACTGACAACCTCAAATCTCCAACTACAAGGGTGATGGACTGATTACACCATCTTCACATCTCTACTGCTGCCTATTTTTGTACTCAACTTTAGAAGCCTACTGTGTAGGCGAAACGTTTCGAAATACAGTTGCCTAACTGTTGCCCATGTGTCTTACCTACCTACCATCACAGAAGCTAAAACACTGTGTAGTTTTAAAAGTTAAATACTACATGAGTGGGTGTGAGTTGGACCTGACTAGCTTGTGCTACTAGGTCAGATGCTGTGCTCCTTCCTAAAGTGAATGTGACCCAACCTACTAGGTTGGGGCACTGGCTTGGGCTGGTGGGGTACTTGGACCTGTTTCGTATGGCCCAGTAGGCCTGCTGCAGTGTTCTATCTTGTGGAGAATTTTCTCCAAGAGTTGGGAAAATCTAGAAGAAAAAAGATAGGAAGATAGGAAGCACTGGTTTGGTAATAAGAGTTGTGCACGAGTGGAACACTTACGAGTAGCGTCACGAAAGCGAAAACCTTGTGCAACTTCAAAAATAGATTAGACATACTTTGGACCTTCCTACCATTGGCCATTGGGCCTGTTGCAGTGCTTGTGTGTTATGTACAATCGGAACATGATGGATTCCAAAACAATGCTCACACCATAACGGTTACCCGCCTGTGTAGCGCCCTTCTCCAGCTCCCATCCCCACCCCAAAGAAAAAAAAAAAACTCCCATGGGAGAATGGTAGGAATAGGTTATTACAACCTTTCACAAAAGTCATATGTCTATAATTACCAGTCGATGCTCCTAATTAGGCCTTACATAATACTCAGTAGGCCCACCATAACGTTCAGTAGTAGGCCTTACTATTGCATAGTGTATGCACTACCGACAAGATGTTGAACTAAACACGCATTTAACGAAAAAAATGTCTCAAATAAATGGTCAGATAGTCTTATTGGGCCTTAAAGTTCTTTAAGCTGCAAATTAATCAGCAAAAAACTGAGCAAGTGTCTTGAAGATTGAAGATTTCTTACCTTGCCATCCGTCCGGACCATGGTTTTGCCATGGCCGGGCTGGATTTTATATCCGCTGAAACTGCAAAGCTGAAGTCTGAAAGAAAAAGATAAACCATCGTGAAAATGGGGAAGTAACACTGCATATAAATACCGTATGTATACGCTTCAATATACACAGATGGCGATGATGTTACACGATGAATTGTAGTAACAATGTTATCACTCACTTCATGGTGCGCTACAATAACATGAAGGTCTGCTAAGCTTCTGTGAACCGCCACCAGAGGGAAACTCATCTCATTTTCGTAATAATTATTTAATCTTGAACATTAATTTATTACAAGGTTTGAAGTTTTGAAATGAATCTAAAATATTTTATTACTAAACTGTTTAAAAAACTTTGAATTCTTTGATGTATTCGGAATTTATTAATTTCCAAATATATCATCGATTTCTTACGAAAGTTGATCAAAACATTGGCGCTCAAATATGGCCTCCTCAGGTATGTGATATTTTAACTAATATGCCGAAATATTGGCCAATTATCAATCCCTTGACCCATTTACTCTATCTGTTCACCAATATCTTTGAACAAGAAAGAATATTTATTATTTTGCCGTGAAGGAGGAGGAAGGACATGCTGAGAAAGAATTTTGGTGGTGAAGAGTATATAAACGCTCCTGTCATCTCCTCCATCGAAGTCATTATAAATTTAAGACAGAAATGGATGACTATGGCAAAGGTTTGGATATAGAAGCTTCATGGCGTATATACAGTGATGCTAACGAAGAGTAAATTGGAAATATATATCAGGAGATGAAAAATAGGGAGTGTCAGTGGCACAAGCATGACATTTATTACTTCTGATTTTTTTTAAAATATTCTGCTTAGGGTGTCTATTACTGTGACTTACTACCTCATTTTGCTGACTTTGTTTGTTATATTTTAAGAGAGAATGTGCTACACACTGTCTTTGAATAAGTGTTTAGGCCAGTTTTACTGAACACTGGTAGATTAAGTAAGTAAAGTATTTAGGCACAATTTACTAAATTTTGAATGATCATGGCTCAGTTGGTAGCGTCTTTGGCTCTCACACTGAGGTACTGGAGATCGTTCCTTGGTACAGGTTAAATGTTGGACATGTTTCCTTATACCTGGTGTCCCTGTTCACTTAGCAGTAGGTAGGTACCTGGGTGTTAGTCGACTGTTGTGGGTTGCATCCTGGAGGACAGTATTAAAGGACCACAGTGGAAATAAGACTGACAACCCCTGATGATACTGGGGCTTTATTGAGTTATCCTAAGTGGCTAACCCTCTGGGTTAAAAATCTGAACAAAATCATATTTTATCACTTGTTACATACTGTTTCTACAAGATGCTTAATTCCCTGTGGATGTTGGAAATTATGTAGATAATGTCTAAAATTTACTAGAAAGTGGCATGTAAAAATAAATTCTCTTGGAAACTTATACTCTATGTTAAATCATCTTCACATGTTACTTGTGCATATCCATAGTGTCAAGTTTATAAAATATCTGGTATGTTAATTGTATGTACTGTAATAAGCTTACGTGAGGCTGGAACAAACTTTCACTGGGACAACATTTTGTTCGGAGTACAGCTTTATCAAGTCATGACTTGAATATCAAATGGTATACAATACCGACAGGTTGGTAGATAAGACACATAGGCAACATTTAGGCAACTTTATTCCAAAACATTTCGCCTACTTGACTGAAGAAGCCTACTGTGTAGGCGAAACGTTTTGGAATAAAGTTGCCTAAATGTTGCCTATGTGTCTTATCTACCAAGTCATGACTTGATAAACCTCTACCCTGAACATTATGTTGTCCCAGTAAGGGCTTGTTCTGTAAATTGTGCCTTCATATCCATAGCTATTTGTGCCATTGTACTCCTCCAACCTAGTATCAATGACAACAGTAGTTGACATTATAATCAAAATATGTAATGTGAAATTGAGAGTAAGAATCGTATAATATTACATTTCTAATATTTTGTGCAGTATTGCAGTAAATGATTTGCATTTCTGTTTTTCAGGAGAGGAAAAGGATGATGGACAAGATGACACAGGTAAGGTCTGACACATTAAATAAACTATGAAAATACTGTACAGTAGATTTGACTCGACCCACAGGCCATTCGGATTTGTGTTGCTCTTCGCCTAGCCGCCCCCATCCTCACCGAACGTAGGTGTATTTGCAGCAGGGCGATGGCTGATCAATTTGGACTTCATGGTCTCGTGTGTCACACAGCAGAAGGGAAGTATGCTAGACATGAGGAGGTCAGTGACATCATAAAGAGAAGCCTCGCCACAGCCCATTGCCCAGCTCAACGGGAACTCCAAGTGCAGAGGTTTGATGGAAGTCAAAAGCATCCTGATGGAGCCACTATGCTACCCTGAAAGGACGGGAAGCAGATTGCCTGGGACTACACCTGTGCCACTACATTGGCAGACACCTACTTGCCATACTCCGAAGCTGAAGGGGGTGGAGCTACCAGCCACAGGGAGACCCAGAAGATCCGCAGATATGAAGACCTTCCCCCTTGCTATAACTTCATCCCAATAGGGTCAGAGACCCTTGGAGCATGGGGCAAGTGTGCTCTAAAGTTGCTCAAAGAGCTGGGTGAAAAGCTCGTCATAGAAACCAAGGACCACAGGGCGACCAGCTTTCTCTTTCAGAGACTCAGTGTTGCAGTCCAGATAGGAAATGCCTGCAGCATTCTGGGCACGTGGCCCACCACTGGGGAGCTGGACGAAGTATTCGAGATGTAGCTCTGAGTTGTTATATATGTTGTTTTACTTTCTATTGTAATTTTGTGAATGTTTTATCAATGTATTTTGTCTTTAAATAAAATATGTATATATCATTATAGGGGGTGGTAGGATAAAATTCTCAAATAGCTTCAGGGAGAACCTTGAGTTTTCCCTGAAGCAAGTTTATTCTTTTCTCTGAGGATGAGGGCCCCCATGTAGATTTGAATATATTTTTAGTAGTTTAACCCTTTGACTGTCGCGGCCGTATATATACGTCTTACGAGGTACCGTGTTTGACGTATATATACTCATAAATTCTAGCGGCTTCAAATCAAGCAGAAGAAAGCTGGTAGGCCCACATGTGAGAGAATGGGTCTGTGTGGTCAGTGTGCACCATATAAAAAAAAATCCTGGAGCACGCAGTGTATAATGAGAAAAAAAAACTCCAACCGTTTTTTTTAATTAAAATGCCGACTTTGTGGTCTATTTTCGTATAGTATTTATGGTTGTATTCTCGTTTTCGTGGTCTCATTTGATAGAATGGAAAACATATTATAGAAATAGAGGTGATTTTGATTGATTTTACTATAAAAAGAACCTAGAAATGGAGCTCAAAGTAGGGGAAATGTTTGATTTTTGCCAATGTTCAAAAGTAAACAAATGATACCATTGTCCAATAAATGTCCAACTAGCCATTCTAATATGCAGTCATGAATGGGTTGATGTTATTTATACAATTATTACAGTATTGCAGTAGTCTGCATAATAGTAAGTCTTCTATTTTTTGTTTGAATAAAAATTCAAAATAGAAAGCAAGAGTAATATCAGAGGGGCCTGGAGACATGACTGATGAGCAAAGAAAATGTTATTTTAGAGCCAGGAATATCTGCATTATTCATTCTGGACCTTATTTTGAAATTGTCATATTTTTTAGTTTTCGTGAGATTGGCCAAATTGCAAATTTCTGACCACATTATTAGGAAGTTGAAATCGGTAAATGGGCAGTTTCTTGTACTCAATCGATAGAAAAAATGGAGTTCTAAAGAAATAGCTATGAGTTTGTGTGACTGGAACAAAGGAATTAGCTGAAAATAGGGCTCAAAGTGGGCGAAATCGCCGATTTGTAAACAGCGCCGAGGTCACTAACTTCGCGAGAGCATAATTCCGTCAGTTTTCCATCAAATTTCGTTTTTTTGGTGTCTTTACAATCGGGAAAAGATTCTCTATCATTTCATAAGAAAAAATTATTTTTTTTTTTTTTAAATTTTGCGACACCAGGAGACATCTCAGGATTGGGGGTTGCGACAGTCAAAGGGTTACATATATATTCTAATTTGTACCGTTCCTTATGTACAGCAGATAACTTGTTTATTTTAGGTGTGGTATTTTTTTTTTGTTTTTTTTGTTTTTTGTTTTTTGTTTCTTGGTCGACACAAGTTATATCTGTTAATGATTCTGGGGATTATAGATAATGCAACTTAACCATTATATATACAGCAGTCCCTTGAGTTACGATATTAATCCATTCCAGAATATGTATCATAACTCAAACTCCAATTAGTTCGAAGACCACAGCAATACAACTTTTACTGTGTCTTGGCAGTGTGGTGATGGGGAAGAGGGTGGAGAGGAGGTTACTGGCTGGAAGGAGACATGCTCATTCACGAATGCACTAATTCTAACTCCATCATGTTTTTTCATAGTTTCCTGTGCAGTAACACAAATGATGGCATAATTAAATCACAAATGAAGTTATGAAGAGTAAGTAATCCAGTGTTGGTGCAGGCAACACACATGGTAGCTTCAACCTGAAGAGGAAACAGTAAACTAGTACAAACTCTGCTGTTGGCTGATATGATACCCCTAAGACATTCATTCCCGTTGCTGATTGGCTGCTAAGCCACCTCCATATACCCCTACTGATGCTCCTATTAACCCAAGAGGCAAGCTATTATATCACTAGTTGGCTGAGGCTCACCCGCATGCACATGCCTTATCTCAAATTTTTCATTGCAATTCGTAACTAAACTCCTTTAAGAGGGTACATCGCAACTCAAAATTATAACTCAAAGACCATTGTAACTCAAGGGACCACTGTATTTTACATCTGAATCAATTATATTATTGCTCTTGTCCTGAATAATGTTACACAATGTTGTCTCCTACAAGTCATCATTTGTAAACCCCCCTTTCCTATTATAAAGTCATGTCACACATCATGTCTCATTCTCAAGTAAATCGTAATTCAGTTCTCGTCCTATAAGCTAAAGACTGTCATTTTAAGCTTTTTACTTATGCAGTGTTATTGTTACTTAAATTAGTTCTTTATTTAAATTATGATCATAGTACAGTGGTCCCTCGTTTTTCGTAATTAATCCGTTCCTGGAGGAGCTACTATAAACGAAATTTACGATTTGCGAATCAATTTTCCCCATAAGAAATAATGTAAATACAATTAGGTAATCCGTTCCTGATACCCAGAAGTATTAAAACAAAAATTTTTTTTACATGAAATATACATGTAGTACATAAGCAATACAATGGGAAATGATGAATGAAACATTAACAGCATAACACTTACCTTTATTGGAGATTCTTCTTAGTGTATGGGAGACTGGAGGAGGAGAGAGATTGGATTGTTCACAGTTTGGAAGGGGAATCCCCTTCCAGCAACACCTCAGGTACCAATTGCTTCTCTGGGGGTTGCTTCTCTTCTCTGTTTCTTAATGCCACTAGGACCACCTTGAGAGTCACTCTAGCCCTGTCTCACAAAGTAACTGTGGAGAGAACTCTGTTTCTGGCATCTCTTTAACACTTCCCTAAAATGGCCCAAGACTTTGTCACTGTACATATTTCTCACCTTCTTTACCACAGGCTTGGCACTAGGAGCTTTCTTTGGAGCCATGGTAGCTTATTTAGTACTTGCAAGCACCAAAATGAGTGGAATATTATGAAATATTTCGTAGGAGCACTTGAGGGGACCTTCACTCACTGGTAAACAATGCCAGACTGGCTGGGTAGGGAGGCTGCCCCGGCTCACACCGTGCGTACGCGTCCCGGACGAACTACTATTCGCGAGTCAACCTATGAAAAGCGAGTCATGTTTATACGAAAATACCCCTATGATTGGCGAAATTTACGATTGCCGAGAACTATGAAAAGCGAGGGACCACTGTACGTACGTATTATTATTTTATTACCCAATATTAAGAATATAGTCCTCTAGTTCCTTCATAAGTTATTTAGTCCTAGTTTAATGCTGTATACAGGTCAGCCATCACTAATACGGCAGTCTGTAATCCAGTTCCATCAGTAATCTAGCACAAATTTCGGCTAGCATAATTTCGCATTTCCAGGGTTGCCACACCAACCTGCCACTTCTGTTTGGTGGTGCTACTTGCTGCATAAGTCATTCCAATTTCCTTTTCTCCATTTATTGTTATAACCTGCTCACTTTTAGCCCTAGCCATGGTTCCAACAAATAAAAGAAATGCTTTACGTTTTGTAAAGCGCATAAAAGATAAGGTGGCTTTAAAACCACTGTCGGTCATCATGAGCTCAGCTCACTCAGATAAGCTGTGATCAGTAAATTTGTGCTTACATATGAAAGAATAGGTCTGTGCGGTAAGTGTGCACTATATCAAAAAAAAAAATCCTGCAGCACGCAGTGCATAATGAGAAAAAAAAACTGATCGTGGTTTTAGTGTAAAACGGCGACTTTACAGTTGTATTCTTGTTTTTTTGGTCTCATTTGATAGAATGGAAGATTTATTACAGAAATAGATATGATTTTGATTGGTTTCATGATGGAGAGTACCTTGAAATTGAGCTCAAAGTAGTGGAATTGTTTGATTTTTGCTGATGTTAAAGAGTAAACAAATGATGTCATCGTCCAATACGTCTCCAACTGGCAGATCTAATATGGGGTCATGAATGGGTTGACATTATTTATACAATTATTACACTAATGCAGTAGTCTGAATAACAGTAAATCTAATTTTTTTTGTGTGAATAAAAATTCCAAATGGAAAACAAGTGTAATATATGAGGGGCCTGGAGATGTGACTAATGAACAGAGAAAATGTTATTTTAGTGATAGAAATGTCTGCATTGTTTATTCTGGACTCTATTTTGAAATTGGCATCTCTTGAAATTTGTGTGAAATTGGCCAAATTACCAATTTCTTACCACTTTATTGGGTAGTTGAAATAGGGGAATGGGCGGTTTCTTGTTTCTTGTACTCAGTGGACAGAATAGAAGGAATACTAGCAAAATAGCTATGAGTTAGGCAGACTGGAACACTGGAATGGGCCAAAAATAGGGCATAAAGTTGGTGAAATCGCCAATGCGTAAATATCATCGTTGGGTAAAGTATATTCTAACTTAACCACTCTGTAATCTGGCAAAATCAATAATCTGGCACCCTACAGGTCCCAATGAAGCTAGATTAATGACGGTCAACCTGTACTGTATTTAAAAAAGTCCAGGAATGAACTTTTAAGGGATGAGCACTTATTTCAGTGACTCATTGGAAGCTCACATTTTGAACAGATACTGATTATTTGCCTTCCCAACAGTTGTGTATGACTCGGAAATTGTGCTTGACCTGTGTGGCAGAAGACTCAAAAGATTGGAAAAAGCACCAGCCAACCAAGCCTATGCTACTGCCCTCGTATTAGATAACAACTCTTTACAAAACCTTGCGAATCTTGACAGCTATGGTGAACTGGAAAGGGTAAGGTGAAACATTTATTTTTGTATCATGTAGCTACTGTATCTTTAATTTTGCAAATGGAACGCATTTAATACTGAAAGCGTTTCATCCCAGTTATGGTGTTTATTTTGATGTTTAAGTATTGGGAAGAAGTAATCGAACTGTTGCTGCTAGAATACTGTACTTCTTTTCTGCTGTGTGCATGTTATGCTCATTTTCAGGTAGACTGTTCCAAATTTTCTTGGCTGTCTATGTGCATGGAGTTTCTACTTAGAATCTACCACACTTGTAGGGTAAAGAGGTGATAGATATATCTTGCATTATGCCTTTGGGTTTTCAACACCTAAAAAGAAACAAACTACTATCAGACAATACTGTATCATTAAAATGCTGTTTTTATAAGAGTATTACAATAAAGGAACATCATAGTAGGCCTACTGGCTCATATGCACTTGGCAGGTCCTTCTCAGTTCTCATACCCAACACTTCTCACTCATATTCATATACAGTGGAACTCCGGTTTTCGTACTTAATCCGTTCCAGGAGGTCAGTCTAAAACCGAAACGTACAAAAGCTGAATTAATATTTCCCATAAGAAATAATGTAAATACAATTAATCCATTCCAGACACCCAAAAATATTAACAAAAAAATACATTTTTTTAAAGAATAATTATAGTTTTACATACAAAAAAGAATGAGAAATAAATATAAATGACTAATTTTAATAAATGAACATTACATACCTTTATTGAAGACTCTTGTTGGCGTATTGAAGAAGGCGAGGAGAGGAGAGGGAGTTGGGGTTATTGTGTGGAAGGGGAATCCCCCTCCATAAGGACTTAGGTAACAAAGCCCTCTCTGGGGTTACTTCTCTTCTTTGTGCTTTACTGGCACTGGACCCCTGTTGCATTAAAAATCTGCCCAGAGAGCTCTGTTTCAGGCATCTCTAAGATTTGCCTGAAATGGGACAAGGTATTGTCACTGAACATGTTACAGATATGGCTTGTATCAGCTCTGTCAGGGTGATATTTTTCAAGAAAAGTTTGCAACTCTTTCCACTTTGCACACATGACCTTAACGACTGAAGAAGGCACCTTCTCCCCTCTCTTTTCCTCCTCCTCTGAAGCAGTTTCCTCAGCTGTGGTCTGTTGCTCTTCCAGATGAATATCTTGCAGCTCTTCAGTGATTAGCTCTTCCCTGTGGTCCTCCAGCAACTCTTCCACATCCTGGCCACTCACATCCAATGCCATGGACTTCCCCCAAGACACAGTATATTCAGCAACAGGTGTGGGGTGGACAGGGTCATCCTCAAACCCTTCAAAATCCTTCTCTTGGACACATTCTGGCCACAATTTTCTCCAAGCGGAGTTCAAAGTCCTTGAAGTCACTTCCTGCCAAGCCTTACCTATAAGGTTTATGCAATGGAGGATATTGAAGTGATCCCTCCAGAACTCTTTTAGGGTCAACTCAGTGTTCGAGGTCACTTCAAAGCACCTTTGAAACATTGCTTTGGTATACAGTTTTTTTAAGTTTGCACTGATCTGCTGGTCCATGGGCTAGATGAGAGGAGTGGTGTTAGGAGGCAAGAACTTCACTGTTATAAAACTGAAGTCCCTAAACAATTGGTCTTCCAAGTCTGGAGGATGAACAGGAGCATTGTCCAGTATCAGGAGGCACTTGAGTGGCAAGTTATTTTCAAGGAGGTATTTTTTCATACTCGGGGTCAAACACTTCATGGACCCAGTCAAGGCAAATTTGTCTTGTGACCCATACTTTATTATTAGCTTTCCACATCACACACAGTTTACTCTTGATGACATTGTTTTTCTTGAACACTCTGGTATTTTCAGAGTGATACACTGGTAAAGGCTTCACTTTGAAATCACCACTAGTGTTAACACAGACTATAAGAGTTAGCCTATCCTTCATAGGTTTGTGTCCTGGCAGTGCCTTTTCCTTCTTTGTGATGTAGGTCCTGTTTGGCATTTTCTTCCAAAAGCGGCCTGTTTTGTCACAGTTAAACACTTGTTGGGGGAGGAATTCTTTAGCCTCCGTGTACTCCTTGAATTCATCAATTCATCCGAATTGTACGATATGCGTACCGTACGAAAACTGGAGGTCCTCTGTATAGCCTCTTTTTAATGTTACCTGAGGTGTTAGCTTCAGTCACGCTTTTAGGCAGATTGTTCCACTTCTCCACATGTTCATTTCCAAACTGAATCCCTTCTGTATATAAATTTATCGAACTTTAATCATTGTTTCAGGTTCTTTCTCAGCTAATTATCCTCAGCCCTCCCCCCCCCCCTCCTCTTATTTTACTCGGAGACCATCTCCTGCCAAGGCAGGGTGACTTGAAGAAGAAAACAAATTTACTATAATTCATTCAGTCACCATCTTTCCAGAAATATCCTGACATCACAATTAGATTACCCACCAACTGCAACATTCCCACCCCTGGAACTCATTCCTTGCTAACTTTATACGTATCTCCTTTATTTATATATGTCTTCCATTTGTATACAGTAGGGCCCCTCATATACTGCAGGTTAGGTTCCAGGCTACCGCCAGAATGCAGAACACCATTTATTTCCACTTATAAATGCATATGCATGCCAGATAACAAGTTTACACTAACATTTATTAACTTCGCAATAGAACTAGGCATTAAAAAACAATAAGTAAAATATACACAGTACACTTATTACTTACTTTAAAATACAGTGGACCCTCGACTAACGATTTTAATCCATTCCAGAGAGCTTGTCGTTAGCCGAATTTATTGTTAGCCAAATTAATTTTCCCCATAAGAAATAATGGAAATCCAATTAATCCATTTCAGACAGCCGAAAGTATTAAAAAAAATAATTTTTTTTTACACGAAATATACTTTTCCCTAAGAAAACAATGAGACATGCACAATAAGTACATAAATAAATAATAAAATGACACTTACCTTTATTGAAGAGTATTGATGAGTGATGAGACACTGTTTTTCTTGAAAACACTGGGATTTTCAGAGTGATATATGAGTAAAGGTTTCACTTTACAATCCCCACTAGCATTACGACAAAACATGAGAGTTAGCCTGTCTTTCAGAGGCTTGTGTCCTCCGAGTGCCTTTTCCTCCTGAGTAATGTAGGTCCTGTTTGGCATTTTCTTCCAGAACAGGCCTGTTTCATCACAACTGAACACTTGTTGAGGTTGGAATGTTTCAGCTTTGCCATGCCATATCACACTGTGTATGCCACTACGATTCTTAAATCTCTCATACCAACCTTTGTTGGCCTTAAATTCACCAATATGAGCACTAGTTCCAGGCATTTTTTCCTGTTCACCTGGGTGTTAGTTGACTGGTGTGGGTCACATCCTGGGGGACAAGATTGAGGGCCACAATGGAAATAAGTTAGACAGTCCTCGATAACGCACTGACTTTCTTGGGTTATCCTGGGTGGCTAACTCTCTGGGGTTAATTGTTTCTTGGTATTTGTTTCTCGTTAAGCCTCACCAACAACACACACTCCACATCTTCAAGTAGTACAGCTGACAGTGGTGCAGCAGCAGCTGACAGTGGTGCAGCAGCAGCTGACTGTGGTGCAGCAACAGCTGACAATGGTGCAGCAACAGCAGCAGCTGATGATGGTGCAGCAACACCTGATGGTGGTGCAGTAGCAGCTGTCTGTGGTACAGCTGCAGCTGATGGTGGTGCAGCAGCAGCTGATGGTGGTGCAGCAGCAGCTGACGGTGGTGCAGCAGCAGCTGACGGTGGTGCAGCAGCAGCTGACGGTGGTGCAGCAGCAGCTGACGGTGGTGCAGCAGCAGCTGACGGTGGTGCAGCAACAGCTGACGGTGGTGCAGCAGCAGCTGACAGTGGTGCAGCAACAGCAGCAGCTGACAGTGGTGCAGCAACAGCAGCAGCTGATGGTGGTGCAGCAACAGCAGCAGCTGACCATGGTACAGCAGCAGCTGATGGTGGTACAGCAGCAGCTGACGTAGGTACAGCAACAGCAGACTGTGGTACGATAGTATTTCGATAGTATGTATTTCTCACCCTTTTTCACCACAGGGTTGGCACTAGAAGCTTTCCTTGGGCCCGTGGTGGCTTATTTAGCAGTTACAAGCACTAAAAACAATGGAATACAAAATATATCGCATGTATGCATGGAACCATTTACCCTGGCTTGTAAACAATGGCACACTAACTGAAGACAGGGCAGCTGAGGCGCTCAGGCTGGGCAGACAGGCGGACACATTCGAGACAAATGTCCTTACCCGAGTTTATCTTTGGTCGAGCCAATATTTTTACGCAAAAACGCATTGTTACTCGATTTTATCGTTAGTCGATGCCATCATTGGTCAAGGGTCCACTGTATTTATAGTCTTAATGTAGGGTGAGAGGTGAGTGGTATTTATTTGTAGGAAGTCAGGTGTGGGAGGTATGGTAGCCAGCCAGGCCAGGCCACCCCACCCACACATAATATACTATGACATTTCAAGTGCCCTAGAGCGATAAAATGCATATACAGTAAACTCATTACTTACCTTAAAATATTTATAGTCTTAATGTAGGGTAAGAGGTGTGAGTAAACAAGGTAAAACAAATAAACAAGAGAGAGAGAGATAGAGTAAAAGAGTAAAATGAGAGAATAAAAGAGTGAGATGCGGAGAATGTAAACAAGCAGACGAACGTGTCTGGTTATGGTTGATACACATTAATCTATACTTAACGTTTCATATTTATGTTAGTTTATTCTACTGTGGGGGTATATTTATCATGTTTATAAATTACACAGCATGTGTATTATATAATTTAGAAAAAATATAGAGGCATTAGTGAAAATGTGTATTAACATAATATACGAGTGATTATTATTGCATATTACAGTGGACCCTCGCATACCGTTGGCATCACATAACATTAAATCCGCATACCGATACATTTTATCACTAAAATTTTGCCTTGCATACCGCTAAAAAACCCGCTCAACACTATTCGTCCGAGACAAGTCTAATGTGCGGCCT